CCCCAAAACCCCAAAACCCCAAAACCCCAAAACCCCAAAACCCCAAAAATAGTTTAAAGAGTTGAAATTTGCATAATATAGAATAGCTGGCAAAGGGGTTACAAACATATTAAAGCACATACTCATTCATTTCATCAATGTTTTGATGTTCAAGAGCAGCCATTTCGGCATCCAACTCCATGATTTCAAGCGTCCATTCATGTCCAAAGAATGGCAAATCTCTGAATGACGGAAGTAGCATTTTGATAAAGGACCTTGTTCCAAAAGTTTTGAACAGATTGTCTCTAATCCCCTGAAATTTCATATGCTCAGGGTTGCTAGAATCGTAAAGGCCAACTCCAAGTTTTTCAGCCTTGGCTTGCCAAAATTTCAGTGTAGGATCTCCCATGTTAAAAATATTTGCAATTTTAGCTACAGTATAAAGGTTGAACCCGATCATCATACCTCCAAGGACCAGTGACATTGTGAGTGAGGATGCGAGGATCGAATAGTATTGGTCTCCAAAAGGAAAGGTCTGCAAGGTTACATACGATGGAATCACAGCTTCAACTCATCCTCATAATACATAAAATAAGAACAACAAGAAGTACCTAGCATTGTTCATTCCGATTCAATTGTTAATCCATGGACAATGGTGATCTCTGTGCAATATTCAATCATTTCAAATGCTGCAATGATGAGCCATTATGAGTTTCAAATCTTTTCAATGAGTTCAGAAATAAGGACAAGCATTAGCATCATACGAGGGAAGCTCTTTAAACCTAAACTTGATCAGATGTCTCATTTCTAATGAAGGATTTTCATTAACAAAGTGCTTTTTAAATAATTCTTCATTTGAGGTCAGTTTGCCATACATTTTGTTCCTTTTGAACATTTGCATATCGTCTCTTAAGTTCTTGATATTACCGGGCTTGATTAATCACGCCATTGTATGATTATACAATACTCAAAAGAATGTAAAGCAGATTAACAAGTGGTACGGGAATCAAATCCAGAAAGGGAAAGTCATTTTCATTGCCCCAGCCATAATATAAAAATAAAAGAATGTGAAGTATCACACCAGCCCCCACATTACAACGATGAAAGCAGGTCCGATGAGCCTCATCATGACTGACAAGGCACTTTCAGATTTCTTGTTGAATTCCTTGCTAACTTTGGCAAGCAATGACATTTTAGATTATTCAATTTTTTATAGCGAAAAGGGGTTTTGGGGTTTTGGGGTTTTGGGGTTTTGGGG